AAAACAAATTTAAGGGAACAAAACCAGGAGAGAATGGGGTTTTGGGCAGAGAATAAAACTTTCTTTTAGAGCACGTTTCAATGGATTAAATCTTTATTTCTGTTCTATTTTTTAAAAAGAAAAACGAAATAGAATAGCGTTGTACATGCTCCAACGTTAGAGCTGGTAGAAGCAGCTGTGTCTTGCTTGGAAGAGCTTTTCTGGAAATCTAATGCTTATTTTCTACACGAAACATCTCTCTTGAAAATTCGACAGTGTTCAAACTTCCTACAAAATCCCATGAAGGAAATAATTCACGCTAATAGTAGTCTGAAGCATATATAAGTAATATAACAGAAACTTTTAGTAAGATTGATATTATTTACAGCTTCTTGAAAGTTGAATTTCTTGGTACTGGATGGGAGGCGATATTCATGCATCATCCAATCAGTTTTGGTGCTTCCCCGGCGGGAAAGCATCACTTTCATCATTGCTTTTGGAAGCAGTAAGACTACTACTCATCTTCTCCACCTCCATTTTTTAAGTTCACGTTCTCCATTTTCAGAGCTGTGTTATATATGCAAGACTAAGAGAGAAGATTAGAAATTCTGGTCAAAGTCATGGACTTTGACTAATTAAAAAACGTTGATTTGTGTTTGCTCATGTTTGTTGTTGGTCATACCTGAATTTTGTTGTTGATGGATACTAATAAAATTTTAGCGATGAGGTTGAGTTTGAAGAAAATTTTCAGACTTTTTAATAAGTTTCTATTTTTAAATGAACATTTATATGAAATAAAGTATTTGATGTATATTTCTGTTCATCAGGTTGCTAGTGCGATTTTTAATAAATCTTTGAAAAAATGATGTGTTTGAAAATAACTGGATTTTTTAGCATTATGAAGGAGAAAAGTTGTAAATAAGATTATTAATTTTGTATTTTTTAATCTAAGAATATTAATTTTATTTATTTTTATGTAAAAATATTAATTTTATTTATTTTTATGTAAAAATATTAATTTTTTAATTTTTATTTAAAATATTAATTTTTAAAAAAATTATTTATTATATTAATATCATCATTTAATTAATTTTTAAATAAAAAATAAAAAAAAATTAATATTTTTATTTACACAGTTTTTCTGTTACAAAGAGACAAAGATTGATTCTACTAGTTTTTCCTTGTGCCCGGCAGATCGATGCTTCTGTTGGGTAAAGAATTTCCAAATCAAAGCACATGGGAGAATGAAAATGACAAATTACAGAACTCCTTTTTTTCAAGAAATTAAGGGAGAGAAGATTCAAACCGAGCGTACCATACTCCAGAACCTTGATATATGAACTGAAGAAATATTCATGTACATATCAGGGTGATGCTACGCTACTTGTCCTGAATTTTGTCCTCTTCTATTTTTATTTATCTGTTTATATAACAACTTTTAATTACCAATAATGCTTCTGTTTGATATACATGTGACAATTAATTTTTTTTTTATTTCAATACATAATTTTTATTAAGTAATTTTATATAATTAAAAAAAATTATTAACCATATATTTAATCTCTAATTTTTAAATTAAATAAATAATTAGAAAATTAGTCCCACTTAATTCCTTAAAAATGATCCAATAACATTAATTTTAAGGACTAAATTACATGCTAACTATTTAAGTATGTCAATATTAATCTTCTTTTACCGGAAGTAAGAGATTTTGATTTTAAGTCGCATGACATATGAATGGAATGGAGTAAGGGATGATAGATAATTATTTCTCATTATACAACTAAAAAAAAAAAAAAGAGTAAATGGAACAAACTGTTTGCTTCTATTTAGGCCTGCATTCTTCCAAAGCCTAACTCTTTAGTTTGAGGAGTGATCCCATTCAACTCAAAAAGAAAAAATATAGATTATATTTAGTTATTTCATGTTAGAACAATCCAATTTATTTCAATATACAAATTTATGTCATTTCATAATTAATTAATCACAAGATCTTAAATTAAAAGGTAAATGCCAAATCTAGTACTCAATCTTTGTCATTATTATTATTATTATTATTTTATAGTAGTAAAGTACATATGAAAATAGTGTTTTTCAGTCTAGACTACATAAAAATTATGCAATCTAATTTTGTGTAGTCCAAACTTTGAAAGTATTAAAACACCCTTAAAGAATCTTGCTTAATAAAATTATTTAAATAGTTTTACAGCTTGAACTACATGCAGTCCGTACAGAAAAAAAAATATTGCAGACCGCATATTTTCATATTGGGGATATAATTGATAGGATGAATTATGGCTATGTGCGCAAGGAATTGAAAGCAATGGATGTACTTTTCCTCCATAGATTGAGTCATCTGTTATCCAACATGCATCATGGTGTTCGCTGGGGACCAATGCACATTTCCATGCTCTGTTTCTGGAATTGAGAACATGACTATTCCTCTTACTAGCACTCATAATTAACTAGCGGGAGGCACAGGTCATTGCCATGCCAGATTTTCCCTCTCTCAAATTTAATCATTCTCAATCTGATTCTACCCTACCTTCTTCATCTTTCCCATATGTTAAAAAATTCTCAACTAAATCTTCTTTCAAGTTGAAAAGGTACAAGTCAAAAAATGCATAAATACATTTTTTATTATAAATTTGTATTGTAAAAATAAAAATTAATATATAATTTACCAATTATCTAATTAAACTCATCCACAAAATTATAAAGAAGACCCCTAGTGCACATTCAAAGTTACTAGACTTTCTCAAATACCACATTGAGCATTGGGAAGGATAGGTAATTTGACAAACAATCTTCACCCATTAAATGTCAAACAAGGATATGCACTATAGTTTGGAGGAGAATTAAAGTCTTTTTTAGGGATCACCCAAGTTATACTCTAATTAACCTAAAGGAAAGTTACTACTATATTGTCATCCTCTTCAATCTGAGACAAAACCCAATCAAAACCACATAAAAAGCTTAAACAAAAACCCCACAAAAAGAGAAAGACTCCCATATAAGAGAGAACCTTCAAAGAGGGAGAAATTTCTACTTTTATTCATCCTCCCTAGTCACTAGAAAAGAGAGAGGCCATGGCTAAGAAGAAAAGAAGACTGCGGCCATGGGAAAAAGAAAGAGGGCGACGGCTGCTTAGGTATGATGATTAGAGTTTTGCCCAACATTTAAAAAAACATTTTAAATGAGCTGAACCAAACACATTTTTTGTTAAGTGCTCTTTGCTTTTTAAAAAATTATTTTAACTTCTAAATTGCAAGAAACTAAAGCATGAAATTTGTAACTTCTAAATTTTATTTTATTTTATTTTTTATCGTTTTGGCAAATAAATGACTTAACAATTCAAAATTTAAAGTTTTAAGATAATTTCATATGAACTGAAGCAAAAAACTTTACTCAAACATCTATATAAGCTAGAGTTCAGCCAATCATGCTCTAAATCACATAAGAATCCATGCCAGCACACAATACTAGTCATTTAGTCAATTGGTTGCAATAGTAATGGTGGACTTTAAATTACTGATCAGCATCAAATATTGCCCACGCATTTCAAAATAATTAGACCAGCATTAACATAAAAGGTTTCATAATAAGTATATATTCTCTTGAAACGTGGGATAAAGACATTGCCACTTGAAATGTGAAATATACATTTCTTGGTTTACAAGTCGGGCTAGATAGGGTTCAAACCCTCAACCCAGTCCAAGAGGAAGCAGATGGAGTTTGCCACCTGCTCTACAACTCCACAATATCCTGATACAGAAAGGACTAAAACTTACAAGGGAAACAGAACAAGCTAGGATGAATGAACAAAGGCAATAAAAACTTCATTGCAACTCCAAATCCATGTCTCAGTTGGATTTACAGCGATATAATTAAACAAATATTCTAAGGCATCCTGATTCTACAAAGGGAAGACTTTGTTATAATGCTATAGCATATAATACAATATAAAACAGGGAATGACAATGGTAATACATGGAGAGCTATTGATTTACAAGGAGAAGCTATTAGTTGAGATCAACCTTTAACTGACCTCTGCACATATCACATTGATGGGAAATATTTGTTTAAGTTGAAGGGAAGCGAGTAAAATTCGTCACTCCTTGAATCACCTTTGAAAGATCGGAACTTGTCCCACCAATTCTTATTAATGTCTTTCTTGATTGCATTGTCCTTGCGATGCAATGTGTTATCCAGAAAATATGCCACGCATCCAGCAACAAAAGCTTCTGATTGGAAAGGAACATTGATGATGTCATTGAACTGCCAATCAAGCAAAGCACAAAATCTCAACACTACAGTGGAGCTTCATCAACCATCAGAAAAATGTAAGAAAAGCTTAAGCTAAGATTAGAATGATCTCAGAGTGTTCAACAGTACAATACCCATCTTGCACCAGTGTGGACTGGACCATGACCGCTAAGTGCTATATGCTCATTGAAGTATTGTGGCACTGACAAGCCTATAAATATAGAGAAGCCTAATATAAACTTTATTCGGAAGCTGTTGAGATTGCAGAACTGAAGATAGCTAAGGCCTCCAGCACCTACCCATGAATCATGAGATGTTAGTAAAACCAGGTGCATGTTATATAAGCTATACAAATAGTTGTTCAATTTTTGAATCGAGCACTTACCCACATATGCAAAGAAAAGGCAATATAAAGCAGCAATAATGGGTGCTGGAATTGAAGCAAAAAGCGCCCCAAATTTCCCTGGACAATGATTAAAAAATTGACTGATAAATATCCAAAATTTTTGTGAAGGACAAGATTTGAACAAAATATTGTAACTAACAACTGACCAAGAAGGGAGAAGAAAATCATGAATCCAGCTGAAATTTGGACCACCCTTCGGCTGCCAACTCGTGTCAAGGCCAGTAGACCAGCATTCTCTCTGTACAGAGACCACACAAGGTCAATATGAAACTTCTGTCTCGGGTAATTGAAAATAGCAGGTGCCTTCTTTAAACCATAACTGGTCATTTCAAGTAAGAATCTTACACAGATACAGATGATCCATTGACAGTTCCAAACAAGCCCGAAATCAAAATGGCAACTCCCTGAAGCAAGGGAAATAACATCAGAATGACAAAACTCATCATCAACCAGAAACTCTTAGAAAACTTGTATGGTTGTGTTGCACACTACAAAAAGGTAGATAACATTTTTAATGTAATTGGTCTACATGTCATGGTTGCAACAAATAAGAAATCACAGAACCAATAGGACAGCTCAACTTGTGTCATTATCTCAACCACATTCTCAATCATATTTTTCCTTTAATAATGTTCTCTCTAATATAAGCAGTTAGCATTCTATACCAGTTTCTTTTTAGCTTTACAATATATGTTGACCAAGGTAACACAGAGATAGAAACAAACTGAGGGTATGATACATGAAATTAAAGCACCTATTTCTATGAGCTATCTTTACATTGAAGGACAATTTCCTTCAATTCCTTTTCTTTCTTTTTGTTTAGGGACACATGCCAATAACGAAGGAACAAATACATAAACCAATCCCATCTACAGCCCTTCATGTATTTATTCCAAACAATGCTCTGAAGGACAATGGCAAAATGGATTCTTGTAAATATCACCTTTTTTTTTTCTCTCTTCCTTTGGATTTACTGTAAAATCACTAGACCATTTTTATATGAATATCCATGAATCAATAATTTTCTACATATTAGAAGCTTAGAAACAGCCTGATTCCATGGCATGACATATAACCAAGAAAACTTCATGAAACAAATTTCTGCAAATTTTGTGTTTCCTGACATTGTTGTGACATAAATGAAGCATTTCCAAATTACCTGCCAACCAACACCACGACTGAGAACTGATGGTGGCATTGGAGTAGCACTAGCAAATCTTGATACAGCAATAAAGGCTCCAGTAGACTGTTCACAAAGTTGGGCAAAGATGAAAAATAAGTACACCTTGTGGAATTGAATACATGTATTAGCTACCCTCACAAAATATCAAAGAGTCTAAGTTACATGTTTAAACTGCAATTAGTCAAGGAATAGAGTAACCAAGAATGAAAAGATAATCCAAAGGTGGAAAAGCTGATTGAAGAACAGGATTCAGTTTCTAATACTGCAATATATCAACAATAATTTTTCCCTGTCACAAGAAACGTGTTAGAATAAAAGTAGGAGGCCAGGAGAATAACTAGAAACAGCACAAACAAAGCCATTAACAGCAGCTATTGATTTGGGTTTTTAGTTTATGTATTGACTGGATCCTTTGGTCTAACAGGTTATTCCTTACCCCAGGACTGAATTGGCAATCAGTTAATAAAGAGGGAAAGAAAAAACAAATGGAGAAGGAAACAAACCTCTACAAGAGCAACAAACGAAGCCATCATCATAGCAAAGGCTTCCCCAGCGTCAAATGAAGGTGGTCCCCATTGAAAGGGATATGGAAACCTTATCCTGTAATACCCTAATTTTATTCAGGAACATTATAAATATGAATGCTTGACAAAGTTATAAGACAAGGGTGAAAAAGTCTCAGCTCAGCTGTTATTGAACTCTTGTTTCCTTTTTTTTTTTTTTGTTCCTCTTGTTTCTTTGAATTGATGTTCAACTCAACAAATTCTTAAAAGCATGAAATGAGTACTATAACAAATCAATGGACTTGAATAAATAAATGTATGCAAGATAAGCAAAGAAAGCCAAGACAGCAAAATAAGCTCACCCAGGTTTAAACACGTATGCCCAAATTATTAAATATAAAATAAAAAAGAATTATTACAGAAGTAATCAGGAGTTCTGCCCGTGCACAACAGTAATTAAGAAAATAAATTGCACAATTTCCACATTTTAGATACACACCATATTCAACAAGGAATAGATAGAATTATTTTCAATTCAATACAGCCAGAAAACTGTAATCATAATGTGGAAGATCTTAAATATGAAAAACTCAGGCCCAGTAGTCTTTGGTCAGGCTAAATAGCATATGAGGTATACCTATAAGGCTATAACCTACAAGGAAATGAAGCAGCAAGCAATTGCTTCAAAATTGAGTAAGTAGGCTCCACTAATCAACAAAGAAATGCAGAGGTGAGCAACCTTCCAAGGATGAAGCATTAACTTACCATGGAGCTGCATCTATCAGACCAGAACGATCAGTACGGCAGCTGATTTGTGTTGTTTGTGGCCTACCTTTATAAGCTCCACCAACAGTGAGCAAGTAAGCATAAATCCAAACAATTGCCACCGAAAATAGGACAGCAAAACGAGCAAAGACATGTTTCTCTGAGCGTATAACATGAGGCAAATACTGCAAAAGAAGCATTGACAACTCAAAGCCTGATAAAATTACATGTCCAAGATAATATAGATATAACATGCCTAACTGCTAGTCTGCTGCATCAAGTGATATTACCTGTGAAATAAATACTAAAATGATCAGCTCAGGCAGTCCAATCTCCACACATTGGGCAACCTAAAAATGCAAAGCAGAAATGACCCAATAGTTATTACATAATGATTTGAGTCATTTGACATGTGATTATGCATTCAAGTTACATCTTCAAAATTCATGAAGGCCAAACTCACCCCAGGAAATCCTAACTCATAAAGCCCAAAACCAACTAGAGATACCAAAGGAACAATTGAAAGTGGACTTAGAAACCTGAAAAATGGGAAAAAAAAAAAGAAGAAAAAACTATTAACAGAAAAGCAATCATGCTAACATAGTTCACTGTTCTTTTCCATACTTCTTTGAAGCAAACATTCCAGTAAGCAGGAAACAGAAGAATCCAACTATTATTCAAAGAATTCATTAACCAGAAAATGATGTGATTGAAAAAATCTAAATTAGAGCTGAATGACATATTTGAGCCCAAAGAGGCCAAATGGAGCTAACTGCAATTACTTAAAGGGAAAAGCAGAGGACTAAGCTCTCCAAGCTCTTCCCAAAATAATAAGCATTGATTACACTACCTTGCAACATTACGCCAAAGGCCACTGAAGCCAAGGACAATCTGAAGAGTTGAAGCAACAATGAGAGAACCCTGGACTGCCCGCATTATCTTTTCAAATTTCTGAAAAAAAAATCAGCATCCAAATCAAAATAGTCAACAATCTATAGTAAATATCCTCTCACCAACTGGAGAAAAACCAGTAAAACAAAATATTTAGCATAAACTATATATACTCTTCATATTTTCTCTGGGAAAAAAAAAGGGTAAAAAGTATAAGATCGGCCATGCCCATGATATAAAGTAATAAGCAACTTAGCAGCAATCCAAAATCCAGATAAAGACTGCCCAATATAACAGCCTGGGTTCTGATCATAAGACCTTAGCAGGATCACTATCACTGAACCGTCCAGCAAGAATAATTGAGATTGTGGTTGGCACAAAGGTATAAGATCCCCCAATCACAGCAGGTAATCTAGTTCCAAACAGTGATTGCAGCAATGTGTTCAAGCCAGCAACAAGGAGTAGTGTCTGGATCACCTTTGCTTTTTCCTCCTATACAAGTCATTGCAAAAACATCATTACATAGGGCCAAAAAAAAATTAATAATAATAACATCATTACACGATTAGAATTACATTCATGAAAAATACACAATGATAAAAAATAAAAAAGATATTTCTTTATTTGCATAAACTCATTTTTCATGGGCCTTACATTTCCACCCCCCATCTGTGGAACTAGAGCAGTGGGAATGAGAACTGTTGTGCCAAGCATCACAATATAGTGCTGAAAACCAAGGAGAATGGCCTCAGCTGCAAGAAACAAGAATTCAACAGATTAAACACATTCCTTTAACTGGTGCTTGATGCAAGTGATAACTGAGAGCAACTTTCACAAGAGGCAGAGCAGGTTCAAGATTCAATTCCTCCTTATCCCTTAGGCTAAAAATGTCTCAGAAAAGAACAGCAGCAATGGAGCAGAATACTGAATACTCAAGGTATTGTTGAAGAGGAATAGAGACCAGAATATATTTTTCTAATCACTTCAAATAATATAAAAAAATTATGACATTTCCTTTAGATAGTAAATGGTCATAGAAAGCTCAATAAAATCGAACCCGCCACCAAAGAAAATTTTTGTTGACTTAAGCTGTTGGGAAGAAACAAGGAGGGAAAAAAGACAAATACAAACAGCCAAAGAGAAGCAAATGAAGAAGAAAGTACAACCATAGCCAAATGAATTAACAATAAGGATTTCAAATTCCCTTCAGTAACCCACATAAATGATAAACCAAGATCTCTAGTCCCCAGAGAAATCAGAAATTAAAAAACAAAAAACCTATTAAGGAGTAAAATTGAAATTCACCCCAAATTTTCAAATAAATACATAAATTAATCAGAAGGATGTTATATATTGAAGAATATTAAATGAACATAAACATGGGTTTGATTTCAGCGGAATAGTGGGACTTCTGCTTTTCAAAAGGGGTATCTCTACAAAAGAAAAACCCAAAAAGGTATTTTAAGCTAAAAAATGGAGACAGAAAGCATATCCGAAACAATAATAACTAATACCAAAACCTTACCTAAATATTCCCAAACCGATTCGCAGAATCAAACTTGAAAATAAACCAGAAATCTAACAACATATCTGAATTTCTAAAGTCCTAAAAAACAACGAATTTAGAATCTAAGCTACCAAAACAGCAAAACGAAGAACAAGACGAGTGAAGTGAAGGTACTCACGCCATGGCGGAGGACTGGTAATGCAATAAGCAATGTTGGGTAGCTGTTCCTTTGGTGGATGTGGCAGCGGTTCATCTACTTTCGGCGCAGAAGCTCCTCCTCCTCCACCTCCTGCCATGATCTCTCCTTCTCACTATAGAAAATATAACAACAACAACAACACGGAAGAATCAGTGAAAACAACTACCAAAACAGCAGTACCGAAAACCAGAAACCAGAAACCCAAATATAATCACTACCCAGATCCCAAACCTCAAAGTAAGTAGCAAAAACAGCAGAATCCCAGAGGAGACAATAAGTCAAAATGAGATGACCCAGAAGAGCAAACCACCCACATGAACAGCTCCTAATATATTAAAAGGATGTAATTATAGTAGATGGGGCCTGTGTATGATGGGACAAGAAAGCTGAGAAAATGATAGAACAACAATTGTGTTTAATGGGGTCTTATCAAATACTTCCAAATTGCAGTACCGAACGGTAGAAGGCAAAGCATCTTTTGTTAAACTCCAAAGCGAAAATCGAGAGAAAGAAACATTAAAGTCAGCAATAAATCATCTTACCAAACAACCACAACGCCTAGATATGTCAAGTAAAAAATCGAAATGAGTGAGAACAGGTACTTTTCGCAGCAGAATTAGGTGAGAGTATTGAAATTTGAATGACAAAAGGGGCAGCAGAAGTTGTTCCAGTAGGACCCGACTCGGTATTTTGCTCCTTTTCTGGCCTTTTCTCTCTAAAGCAGTAAGTTGAATAGTTGTTTCCTTCTTAGTCTAGAAACAGCGGTTTCTTTGTCTCTATTTTTTTTTCATTAGAAACGAAGTAAAACATGCAAACGCACCCATTGATTAATGGTTTTTTTGTTTTTCACTTCACGGAATTCGCTGCTATTCGGCCACGATTCAAGGGGGAGGAAATATTTTTATTTGTAAATAAAGCAATGTAGGAGCTGAGTTGTCAGCGCCTAAATAAAAGAATATTTTGAGATAATGCCGCAGGAAAACCTGTAACATCTCATGGAAAGGAGAAGACCTTCTTTCTTTTGGATTCCAAAATATATATGGAATTTTTAATGTGTTATTTTTAAAGTAGGGTAGAATTTTTTTAATTATAGTATTTGTAACTAATCTTATACAAATTTTGCATCCAGCCCTTTGGTTAAGTGGTCTCTAACCACCTGATGCATTCCCCCACCTCCTGGGCAGGTTCAACCCTGCCCCATGTAATATTGTTTAAAAAAAAAAATCTTATACAAATTTTTATATAAAGTTTTTATCTTTTTATAAATTTTAATTAAATTTAATATAAAAATATAAATAATTAATTACAAATATAGTAATTAAAGAAGCACAAACCCAATATGTATACTCAAGTTGTGACTCAAAGTAAGTAGCCCATTGTGTTGGGTTTTTTATTTTTTACTTTTTATTTTTATTTTTACTAGAGAACTGGTTCAAATTTGTAAGAAAAAGGATCAGACGGGGAGGACAAATTTAAAGTTTAATTACAAGTAATGCAAAAGTCTTTTATATTATTGATAAAATCACTTCAACTCTTATAGCTTATTATTGATGCCCTAAAGGATAACCAACACATTACCTATAAGTTATGACCATATCCTAGTGTTTTCAAAAAAGTATTGAACTAATCTGAAGAATTAGAACCAATCTTGAAAATTGATTTGCTGAAATACAATTTAACAATTAAATCAATCAAAAGTAACTAGTTTTGTAATACAATTAGTAATTAATAGTTAAAATGAATAATTAATAACTTAAATAACTCAATAGTATTCTCTTTTCAATGTGTAAGTAAGAGATCTTGAATTCTACTCATATAACATAGAAGTGATGAGAAAAAATTACTTTTATTATATAATCCAAGATGAAAAAAAAAGAGAGTTAAAATTAATGACAACTTAACCAAGTTGATACCCATAATTTAAAAGCCTTAATTTTATATTAAAGATAGAAATTTAAATCTCTACTGTATTTAATAACAATTTTTTATGAAATATGACAGCTAATTTCACTCTAACAAGAATACTAATTAGTTTAAGTAATAAAATGACTGATAAAAAATATATATAATGACAAAAATCAAGTATTGTCCTATAAAAATTGTAGACTAATTAAGTATAAAAATTAACTAATTCTAATTTTATGTGAACAATTAAAATTAAATAATTTGAATGTACTAATTAACTAAACTAATTATAAAAAAAAATAAATTAACTTTAAGTGATATAAAGAGTTACAATTTTAAACCATCCGACTTCATCATAGTCAATTAATATAAAATTTAGATTAATATACTTTTATGGTCTTTATTCTTCATGTGACAATGAGATTTTTTATCATCTTTAATATACTTTCTCATGTTATACCAAACATATCTTCACTTATTAACCTATTGTATTTCTCTATCAATTTAAATAGATAAATATGCATTATATTCTATGAAATTCTTTAATTTACATAAAAAAATCCGGATTACTTATCACTAATGTTACACAAATTACATTGGTCCATCTCTAATTTTTGTTTAATTTATGATATATGTTATTAAAAACTATTACATAAAATCTCCTCTTAATCTCAATTATGCTCTCCAAATTAGTTTTAAGAGTGGTCAATCATTAAAAAAAAATTAAAAAAAAATAATATATACTTTACATGAAGTAATAAGTCTTAAAAGTATAGTTATTATGAAATTTTATATTAAATTTATCAAGTTATGTCATAACTTTAGATGACTAAATTAGTTTATAATTAAAGGAAAGAAAATCAAATATTTCATGATGAATATAAGAGCATCCAACATCAGAAAGTAAAATTTAAAGACAAATAAAACCAATTTAATAATATAAAATTTTAAATATTAATTAATCTTTTTTTGATGTTAAGTAATTTATTGATTTTTTTTTAATGGAACATGCCAACTTGCTGAAACTTTCATGAGAAGAGGGGCAAAAAGGGAGAATAAGGATTTAAACCCAATTTATACATGTGAGAAAGTTTTCTTTCGTTTATAATTTGGTCAACTGCATTGTAAGATTTTTTCATATTGATTATTATTTAAAAAAACCTATTATGGTATTTATTAGGAGTTTTTTTTTTTTAAGAAGCAAGTGCAAGATCAACAATGAGACGTGTCACTTCTATGTTTACATCTTTTTGCAAAATCAAAAGTAGTTCTATGAAGAAATTGGAAGAGTATAAATTTGTTTAGACAAGAAACGTAGCTAGGAAGTTAAAAATAGTTTATTCTGATTCTCAAACTAGACCTTCTTTGGGAATTCCTTGGATGAAAAAGTAAAAGAGTTGGTAAAGTTGAAGTCAATGAAACAGCTGTTTTGGGATTTCTTAAAGCATTTTTCTTGCATTGATTTCTTGGAATAAATTTTGGTGAAATTGATTTTCAAAAGAGAAAACGACTTCTATTAAAGTTGGGGTGCTGATTTGCCAGTAAAAGGACTGTGACTCAACTAACACGCAAATTGAACAACAAAATAAATTATTAATATTCAAAAAAGAAAAGAAAAGAAAAGGGAATTACTAATAATGGTGTTGAACTGATGAACAGATATGGATGAAGTAATGAAGTTCATCTCTTCATCTCTCTTGCATGCGTGGCATTGTCTTCATGGTGCTTTTTCTATATTTCTGCAGTGCTTTTGATATCTTGAATCGTAAATTTCAAGGATTGTCTTTTCAGGAAGTTCTAAGCAATCATAACAGCTTTTGACATAAAATAAGATGCAACTTTCAACGAATGCACTAACAATGTTTTATTATTA